AGAACATATGTCTCTGATGCCAAGTTTCTCTAATTTCTGCCTGATTTCATGTATACCTCCTCCCACAAAAATAACAACACCTCCTACACATGGTATGGAAACTGTAGGAGGGGGATACAGGGTTTATGCAAGACAACCTTGTTGCAGGTGAACACATCTAGCCTTTAGTAATTAGCAGAGTATATACAGATATATGCAGCCAGAGTATTTATAATAAATATAGCTAAAAATACATTCCCTCGTTATGTACTAGTTTTACACATATAGCTCTGCCTGGTTAACACATCATGCTTTTTATTTGAGTTTGGAATATTCAGGGATACATATAAGAGGAGCTGGAAACTTAATAAGAATAATTTGTTTCTAGCTTTTGACTTCAAAGTTAGTTTTTATGACCACTCTTTCAGCCACCTAAAGTGATCCTCTTAGAATTAATTCCAAACTTTTAGATTCGTTCTGTTTCTTATGGCGATTAATGGTTAAGTATGAAAGACTCAAACCAGTTTTTAAAATATAAGATATAAATTCATAAAAAGTAAAGCTTTATTTATTGACTTTGAATTTTGTATAACATTTTTAACGTTGACTTATGATATTTTGAGTATAAAACCATAGACAGTCATAAATCATGTACAAGAAATACAATACATTTATGATTTATGGGAAAAACATGGAAATTAAGACCCTGTAAATAAATGAAGTGGTTGTTTTTTAAATCATAAATAGAGCATAGCAGAGGACAGAATCTGTATAGTAAAGGATATGTGCATGTAGTCATTACTCTAAATTGTCTAGAGATGTCATGGGGATTTTGTCGTGGAATAAACTAAAAAAAAGATATTTTTATGGACTAAAAATCTGGGAAATATAGAATAAATTTCAATAATTATCAATGTAGTAGTCGGGGTCAAGAGGTAAGTAAACAAATTGGAACAGCCAAACGCTCAACCGGAAGTAGAAATGAAAAAATTGGAAATCCACAACAAAATTGAAGATTTTGCATTTTCTGGTGAGTTTTCATGTTCGAATCGTAATATAGACCTCAGAGCAGGGGTGCTAGTTTCGAATACACCCCTTAGGTTTCGGCACAAAAGCTTTCGAACAGAAAACTTGTGCCAAGACCAGCGGGGTGAATTTGAAACTAGTACCCCTGCTCTTCGGTCTATATTTCTTAATAAAACAAGGCATTTAACATGTTAAATGTCACCACCTACCATTTGTACCAGACGCTGAACACCGACAGCCAAACACCAACCACCATCCACAAAAAGGTTTGAGACTACAACAATATATTGGAGACTACAACAGTAAAAATGTTGGAGACTACAACAGTAAAAATGTTGGAGACTACAACAGTAAAAATGTTGGAGACTACAACAGTATGTCAGAAACTATAACAATATACATTCTAAAACAATCATCCCATATTATAGCAGGCCCGTAGCCAGGGGGGGGGGTTCGCAGGGTTCGGACGAACCCCCCCCCTGGCCAAAAATTCTTTCTAAATCATGCAGTTTTTCACCATTTTGAGCACTTCTCAAGTGATTTTAGCCATATTTGGGCCAAAATTGTCAAATGTGAACCCCCCTGGAAACTGAACCCCCCCTTGGCAAATCCTGGCTACGGGCCTGTTATAGCATATGGTTAAGCTACATCAAGGTAATGAATGTTACATGTGTAGAACTTACATACCTTTCAAAACGGAACATTTGCCAAATGAATTCTACTAAATGCCAAGTTATAACCCATGCTTAAAATTACACAACCTGGGCTCACGGATAAGATTGAAGCTATGATTGCCTCATTTTACACATAGGCCTTCAGGTAATTTCCGAATTTCCTAACTCATCAAGAGCGGAAAGTGACTGCCATGTATGTGTATGCCATACTCCGTGTCTAAAGAAATATGTACAGCAATAACAACATCTTGGTGCAGAAACCTAGAGTCTGTATATAGGTTTTTAACATCTGAACATTCTTTTGCAATTCAGTTGCTTCACCCCCACAGCCAGTGGCGTCACCGACAAAATTGATTTAAACACACAGCACTGACATGTTTTCAACCAATCAGCAAGAAGGAAACGTGTTTCAGTAATGTGTTTCAATGTTGGTCAATAGCAAACAGTGGAAATTATCATATAGAAAATAAAACTTTTCCTTCTGGCGACAACAAGGTCTGGTACAGCTCGTCAAGTTCAGAGAATTCTCTTAAATAAAGAGAATGTATAGATGTTGCAATATGAGCTTAAAGAACCTATCACCCCTATATAGCATAATGGACCAGTCTATGTAAAATATATCTATGTAGTTTTGAATCTGATACTTCACTTCCCTATGTTGGGTTAATAAAGCTATACTCTTTATATATCTCAAGCATTGTCTTTTACTTAAATAAACTCTCATCTTGAAACAATAGACAAAGCACACAAATGCAAAGGGTGAACATCATAGGTTTTCAAGATGTAAGACCACCATCCATGTATGCAAAGGGTGAACATCATAGGTTTTCAAGATGTAAGACCACCATCCATGTATGCAAAGGGTGAACATCATAGGTTTTCAAGATGTAAGACCACCATCCATGTATGCAAAGGGTGAACATCATAGGTTTTCAAGATGTAAGACCACCATCCATATATGCAAAGGGTGAACATCATAGGTTTTCAAGATGTAAGACCACCATCCATATATGCAAAGGGTGAACATCATAGGTTTTCAAGATGTAAGACCACCATCCATATATGCAAAGGGTGAACATCATAGGTTTTCAAGATGTAAGACCACCATCCATGTATGCAAAGGGTGAACATCATAGGTTTTCAAGATGTAAGACCACCATCCAAACTCCGGAATCCAGATTCAGAATAACCTCTCAAATCTTGTTTGTAACTCATATCATTCCTTCTGTTATATTCAGTCAGATGCGGTGTGGCACCGTTACAAATAGAGACTGGGCGCTTTGAAAGACTAAAAATGTTGGTACAAATGTGTATTCTAAAATGTTTACTGCTTCCATGGTAATATACAGGAGCAGTAACATGTGTTACGGTAGGTGCTTTATGGAGACAAAAAACACTTGTAGCTTCCATAGTCTAGCCATAAGTCCCTGTTATCCCCCTCCCCTCTAATTGACTACACACGTTTTTACACAGGAGTTGTGGGGGTAATAGGGGGTAACTAGAGGTGTCACAGAAAAAAAAAGTCGGAACGGTTCAGTTTGGAACAGAAAAATTTCGGAACAAAATCAGGTATCTGTGACACCTCTAGGGGTAACAGAGGTTCGTAGATAAACTAGCTTCCATAGAGCCAATGTGACTGTGGCATTGTATATCTCTAGAAAATATGCCTTTTTTTAAAATTTAATTCCATTTTTAGGTACAGGAAGGTTATAATTTAAACGCATTATAGTTAACTGTAACCTTTAACAGAACCCACTTTGCCCCTATCAAAAATATATTGAATTATTTATGGGGTTATATAAAATTATGTAATCAATGTTGAGATTAATCGATATTTGTTGATATAAATCAATTGGATTTATAAACTTATCAATAACACGTAATAGTATCAGTATTGATGCCATGGGGCATGACCTCTTAATCAATGCATAATTCATATAATCCTGGATTGTACATAGAGGATTTTCTTAGGAAAATTAAATATTGTATTAATGTTAACTATAATCTAATTGAGCTTTGACCTTTGGTTTCAGTGTGCAGATTTAAATTCTTTAAATTCCCAAGAGGTCACATTTATTTACTATTTATCATTTACTACACTAGAGCTTTATTGATCTTATTTTTATTCCAACAATTCAGTACATCCAATACAAAAGTTCACTACATCAATATAACAACAATTCTATACATTTCCTACATTCAATAAAACAATTCAATACATCTATGAAACCCAATAACGCTGTTACCACACATTTACCTATCATTTATCAGTTAAACATAATTATGAAATTTAAATACAATACATTTTCCTAATTACTAGAGCTTTATAATATTTGTATTGCACTGAACTGTCTTTCACAATATGTCATATTTTTATAGATCCTTCTCTGCCATTGCTTGTAAAAAATAATAATGAGATCAAAACTAGTTACAGTTTTTTCCTAATGCATGAAAACAGCTTTGTGGAGAATGTTGACCCTTTAATACTCTTACGGAATTCAACTCCAACTCTGTTAGCCATATTCTTAGATATCTGACCTATGCACAGTTAGAGGTCATTTAACTAATTTTAGATGAAAAACTAATATTTTAGAAATAATATATCTAAGCATAATTATACGTTTTGGATCTTTAACAAGGCTGAGCTATATATGTAACACTTTAAATAATAAAGAAAAAAGACCTCAAACCTTAGTCTTACTATTTTGGCCAAACATCAGCAATTTTTCAAAATTTTCTCACCCATTTCTTCACAACCTACTAGTGACAGTGATTTTTGCATGTAAACATGAATTTATTTACAGATACATGTACACTTGCTGGAATTACACCATGCATTTCAGAAAGGCGCCTAAGGTTTTAAACCGGTTTGAAAAATAGGTGTAATCACAATTGTGGATTTACAAAAGCACCTTTCCAAAACTCCCAGAACCCTAGTCACTAAAAAATGCATTAAATCGTTAGGCGCTTTTGGAGTGTAGTGCAATACCAATCAGTTTTTGTAAAATGCATTGCCCAAGTTTTTAGTTTTTTTTTTGGTTCACACCACTGGCAAAAGTCTCGGTTACGTTTTCTCTTAGATGCTAAAAAAATACATTTATTGTAGATGTACACATCAGCTCTATATTCTCCATATCTACATCGTTAAAGGTGCACGAAAGGCATTTTAAAAATGACATGTGTAATTCCTTTAGAAATTTTGGTGTAATCAGGATGGCGATTTTGTGTGCTTTCCACTAACACGCTTTGAGCATTTTTTCCGGTGTAATTCCAGCAACTGTGACATAGACATTATTAACTAATGTAGTCGTTGAAACTCACCTAGTGTTTCGAGTATATCCAAATCAGACAATTTAAACTGGTCATCTGTGGGTGCCTTAATAGAGGGTGGTGGTTCCTTTTCTTTCTTCAATGAGCCAGACCTTCTTAACTTTTCTTTCGAAACCTTAGCAGATGCCATATCATTTGCTCTTCCTTTCAATGAAGAAAATATCCAGAAATTATGTTTATTTTTCAATACATGGTTTCGGTTTGATTACGATGAGAAAAATGTATGCAATATATCCATGCCACGTAAATAGTATTGTTAATCGGACTCCTACGAGTTTAACTCTGCATCAAAGATATTTCAGTATTTATATGACTTTTTGTAGAGAGCTCGTCTAGTTCTTTCGAAGTTTACATTTGCGATCTAAAGCTAGCTCTTATTATCCGAGATTTCGCATCCCCAGCATAAAAACCAAATTTTCGCATGTTTACTGATTATAAATATAGAAAAAAGCAAATAAATTATGCATCTCATTTATGAAATCTGTATTTTAATAATAACATGATATTTATATTAACACGCATGACCGATAATTAATTACAAAAATATTCATTAGCTTTGAATCAATTACGCATGCGCAAAACTCATTTCCGTGTTTTCGAAAACTTTTTAAAATCTTCAATTCGGTGAGTATTTTTGCATTTTTGGAGTCACAGACATTGGTATTACGATGAATTATACCTTGAATTGAAGGAATATACATATTATTACGTATAACCTCGGAGTATTGAGAAAATGTTCGTTCATATTTCTAAAAATGAGATGATTCAGAAATTATAATTTTTACGGAGCTCACCTCACCTGTCAAATTTTTGACACATAGTCTAACCTAAGGCACAAGCACACAAATGTGAAGAGTTCTCTTCTCATTTAGTGATTCCCCATCATGCAGATCTAGTCTATCTTCATTTTATTTCATTTGTTTATGTCATTCACCAAGTGATTTTTCCTGAAATAACAAACACCATTGGCATCGGGGAGTAAGTCACCCCCTACCTTTATTAGCTATAGTGTAAAAATTGTTGGAGATGTGACTTAACTCTCCGTGACAGATGGCTGAAACACCGTAATACAGTGAACCATCCTGTTACATGTTAAAATCTACAAATGCAAGATAAATGCAGAAAAAGTCACACCTAAAGGTCAGGGGGTTTATTCACATGTAGGGCATAGGCGTAGCAAGGAGGAAGGAGGGGGGGGGGTGTGTGATTAGTATGTATCCAACAGACTGACTAGAAGTCAGTCTGTTATGATGTATTACTTTCCTGTGGAAATTGCAGTGAAATTTTTTGCACAAAATTACATGTATCAATTAGAGGAACCATTTCTTCAATAAAATAAACATTACAAAATTTCAATTAAATAGTAAGGTACAATTAAATGCAATAAAAATAACACAGCATATTGTCAAGTGGAAATAAAGCTAGTTGAAGAAACAAATGTGCAAATTAATTTTACCCAATCGGCCATTTTGAATAGCACTTCCTATGTAAACAAATATTTAGAATTACCAAACTTTAACATAGGTGCCTTATAGTCTGAATATAATTCAGACTAAATAGGATATAGTCTAGGGGTGTGATGGGTGTGAACGCAGTAGATAGAAGATGAAAAGAGCTTTAAAATGCCTTTTATTTGAAGCTTCTATCTCAATTTTGAAGAAAGTTGCGTCATTTTTTGAAGGATTCAAAACAAATCTAAATCTTTTTTGGCTCGCATATGCTATGATCCCACCCCCTGACTAAAAACAGATTTTTTGGGGCCATCTCACCCCCTAACTGAAAGCTGGTTACGCCCATGTAAGGCATTGTCATTTCCGACTAACAAATTAAATGGATATCATTACATGTATCAAGGTGATATCACAATGCTGTAGTCAGGATCTTAAAACTGACAAGATACACTTATGTGATCATGTTTCTTTATCTCGTCTACTTCTCAATAAAGAAGAATTATCAATAATGAACACATTTTCCCCTTTATGAGAACTTTAAAATTACTTTCACTTTTACTTCAGGAGTTGTTTACAACATGGATGGAGCCAATGACAGACCAGAGGATATGTCAGCAGATAGTGACATCAATACTGGTTACCCTTTGTTAAATACAGATTCAGGGATCACAATTGATACTCCGGATTATGCCCAAATAAGGCAAGATCGGATGGACCGCAATCGCGAGACAATGAAGGTATGTGGCTCCGTTTTAGGAATAAGATTGTTGAGTAGTCTATAATTATGTCAATGGAATATTTGATATTACTGAATGAAGATTTAATGAAGAGTATGTAAATTATATCTAAAGAGGCTTGGGGAGATCCATTGAACTTCGACGTATAGGGTTACTTCGTCATGGTGCTACTGTATTTCGACCATGGGGCTATTTTGACATGAGTGTATATTTCCCATTCACGAAGTCCGCCATGTTTGTTTTTGAAAGATTTTAAAAATAAATTGAAATCTCCAACAGGCGAGATCTTAATCCAAGATGGCTGAACCCGGAAATATGAATTATTGGCAATTGTCGAAATAACCCTATGGTCGAAGTAGCCCCATGAGAAAGTAACCCCATACGTTGAAGTTCGATGAATCTCTCCTAAAAATCATTGTGTTGGTTTATATCTTGAGAGGTTAGTGCCATTATGTCTCTGGAAACATAAGACAGAAATCAGGGTAGTCAGGCAATTTTTTATTCATAATTTAGGGTGGTATCTACTGTTTAGTTTATTCCTTGCTGAATCCACTGTTTCTTCTTTATTTTACATTTAAATGTTTATGGTAGTCAATCGATTGTCATCTGTTTACTCTAAATTTGAATGGACTGTCTTTTTTTCTGGTATTTATGTACAATTAAGAGCATTGACTCCACGTCTGTTTACTTTATTTTATGATGATTTCACTCTTTTCTCTTTAAAATTTGAATGAAGTGTCTGATTTCCTTGCATTTCTATACAACTCAGAGTGTTAACTACACGTCTGTTTACTTTATTCCTTGCTGATTCCACTCTTTTCTCTCTAAGATTTGAATGAAGTGTCTGATTTTCTTGCATTTCTATACAACTCAGAGTGTTAACTACACATCTGTTTACTTTATTCCTTGCTGATTCCACTCATTTCTCTCTAAAATTTGAATGAAGTGTCTGATTTTCTTGCATTTCTATACAATTTAGAGTGTTAACTCCATGTCTGTTTACTTTATTCCTTGCTGATTTCACTCATTTCTCTCTAAAATTTGAATGAAGTGTCTGATTTTCTTGCATTTCTTTACAATTTAGAGTGTTGACTCCACATCTGTTTACTTTATTTCATGATGATTCCACTCTTTTCTCTCTGAAATTTGAATGACGTGTCTGATTTTCTTGCATTTCTATACAATTGAGACTGTTAACTACATGCCTGTTTACTTTATTCCTTGCTAATTCCACTCTTTTCTCTCTAAAATTTGAATAAAGAACTTCAATGAGACTACAGTTTAAACACAAGTGACATCTTTATACTGAATTTATTAAAGTTACTACGATATTTTGTTGTCGTTTAAGTATAGAATAAATGTAATCTATGAAAATGTAGTTGCGGGAAACAAACCAGCTTTTTAGTTAAATTTTGTGAGACACACAATATAGGGCTTCTCATTGGTCAGACTTTATCAAGGAAGTTCTCCTTTAAAGGTATGATGTCAAACTCTAAAAGGGTAGGGAAAATGCCCCCAACTTTGACGTATGGGGCTTATTGGACATGAGGCTTTTTCGACCATAGGGTTATTTCGACAATGCCGATAATTCATGTTTCTGGGGTCAGCCATCCTTGATTAAAATCTCGCCTGTTAGAGCTTTCAATTTATTTAAAAAAAAATTCAAAAACAAACATGGCGGACTCCGCGAATTAGAAATATAAAAGTTGTCCAAATAGGCCCATGGCGAAGTAGCCCCAAAAGTTAAACTTCGACATATCTCCCCTCGTCTGTCACAGTAATTTTTTCTCAACATATTCTTTCTTTTTTTCAGGCTTTGAACCTGATGATAGCAAAGGATATCATCCCACAGGTAAAGAAACAGTTTTTCAAAACAACGCAAAATAATTTTGCCAAGCTTGTTTGATCCTAGTCCCATTGAATAGTGGGCTTATGAAAGGGTGGCCTAAATTAAGTCAGTACAAGAAAATGAAATATTTGAGGATTTTGGAACTAAATCCATTGCTGTATAACTTCCAAAAGGTCCAAATGCTAATATTATGAGAGAGTCCAAGGGGCTTTATTAAAGGATTCTCTTATATAATTAATTAAGTTATGCATTGCTACACATACTAAGAGGCTAGTGAAATTAATCTATTAAAAATTGTACTTCAAGAATATTTAAAAAAATATATATTAAAAAGTGAACTTCATTCCATGCTTTGGTTATATTTCTTTCCCACTGTAATAAAATTGGAGGAAATTGAATATTTACTTTAATGAAATGCTGGGAAGGGACTTCCTCAAGTCGTACGATTAACGTATCATGAAGAAATTAGCGCCAAAGTCTCATCAATTCAGTACAGTCTACAGAGATACACCATCAATCAATCATATATTGAACTTCAGGGGGAGGAGAGAGGCTACACATGGGGTTTCTCTTGAAGTGAATGCAAGTGTTTGAATAATTTGAAATTTATTTATTTGAAGAAAAATTGCCTATATCTTATTTCCCCTTCAAAATATTCTCATTAATTTTGGGGCACCCTGTAAATCCTGTTGAAGTTGAATACATTTTGTACCTCTGAATGGTGTTCATTTTACAATACTGTACATCCGCAACTTTCAGAACAGAGCGCAACATTTGCAAACCAGTGCACCTTACAGCATCTTGAACACTTCAGCTAGTTTTCTCGTCAATATCTATCGTAAATTCCTTGATAAGACCACTCAAAATCAGAATCAAACAATTTTTCGAAAGATTTTTTGTCTTGCCAAGAATTGGTCATTTTATTCTGGTTTTACGACATCGCTAGAGTAATTTACAACATAGCACATACCTATTTACATTATCAGGTGATATTGAAAATATCGCTATTATTTACATTATCAGGTGATATTGAAAATATCACTAAGTAATCAACTTTACTGTCAACATGATGCAATATTCTAGTTTACAGACATGAATATGAATCAATTTTTGGTGACAATGAGAGAAACCCTGATGGCAGGGCTTCTACATGGAGCAACTTTTTGCAACTTTTGTTCTTTTTGCATCACATTTATTATGAAAATCTTTGTCCTGACCCCTCTTGGATGGAAATAAACAAAGATTGTAGATTAGACCGCATGCGCTTAACTTTTTTATTTAATTTCATATCTTTAGAAGCTTTTTATTGCCTTTGTTATAAGCAAGTTACCAAGATACTGTCTATATACAGGTGCCAATTGCTTTATACTAACACTTTTGATAATAGGGGGGGGGGGGGTTTACAAAATAGATTGTGTGTAGATATTTGAGCATAACTATTGAGACAACCCCTTATCTTGCTTATTCTGCTTTACTTGATTTTTTAGGACAGAGCTTGCAGCGGGCTTCACAACAATACTAATGTAAGTACATTAACATACTAACCAGGGGCAGATCTGGGAACCAACAAGGGGGGGACCCAAATTTGAGGTTAGAGAAGAAACGTCCGAAAATTTTAGGCCCCCAAAACCCAAAAGTGGGCCCAAATTTTGAAATTTTGAGGCCCATTTTCTTTAAAATTTGGCCCGAAATTTAAAATTGAAGGCCCAATAATGACCAAAAAGGCCCACTTTATTTTTCTGGGTCCCCAGGCCCCCCCCCAGATCCGCCAGTGCTAACAAATAGTGCATCTTTAGATCAGTAATGATTATAAAAATAGGTGAGGCAAAATAGAATTGATGAGGCAAATAAAAGTTAGAGAGTTCAAGATAAATACAATCCTAACACTTCATTTCATCAGTTTCCTTTGAAAAAAAACATTATATTATATTAATTATTTTCTGTTAGACTTTGGTAAAACAGTTGCCTTGCTTGCCTCATGTCCCCGGGCTCATGCCTTAGGCCTCAGGTTACCCCTGGGTCACCCTTGTTCTAATCTCCAGCATTTCATACAGTGCCCCCTATACTGTACCTCCTTCCTCATCTCTGGACAAGCTTAATTCCTAGGCCCTGGGAATTTTCTTCCCCGACCTACTTCCTGCTAATGCCTGGGTCACATTTGCTCAATCCATCAGCCAGCGCCCGGCCGATTAAGTGTTTTGTTCAATATTGTATTCAATTTTGAACAAAATACTCAAACAGCCAGGTGCCGTATTGAAAATCGGAGCAAATGTGACCAAGGCATAACAAAGACACCTAATTTTGCTGGATTTAAACATTCTTATTTTTTAAGTCAATCTGGTTTATAGGGTTTACTTGTTCTTCCTTTTGGAAGACTACAAATCCCTGTAGATGGAGAAGGAAGAATGACATGTCAATCTTGTAAATGCCATATTTTATATGGCTCTACTGATTTGAATGCAATGATGCAATTTAATATAAAAATAAAACTATTTTTGGTAATTAAAGATCAGCGTTGTTGTCCATCAAGCAATAAACATTTTTTAATTTGTAAATGTTATGGAAACTTTCTCAGAAATTGAAAATTCAAAATTCTTCAAATCTACAGAACCTGAGTGGACTCGTATAAAAGGCTGTGGTGTGTACCTGTATGTCTATGTACCCGTGCACAGAAAAGAACACAGGCTCCTCCAAGGAGGGGTTTCTGGCCATATCTTCGATACAATACAATACAATACAATAGAATCTGCCAAAATAGAAAATACTGAATTATATAAGAGTTAGATAAAACACATTTGAATTTATGCAAAGTTTATCAAACTGATTCCATAATTAAAAAATCAATTGTTCAGTTGATGTACAGTCCCAACTCAATCGGGTGATTTTATTAGATGAGTGATTTATGACGAAGAATCCTCTTTTCTTTTTCACTTAGAGGTTCCTGGAAGTTTCGAGAATCCAATTTCCTGCAGTTTAGCTCTCATGAGATTACTGTTGCTCATGAATGATAAATCATTTAGCAATCAGGATAGCACTGTTGCACATGCTATTCAAGTGTAAACCCAAGGGTATTGTAACCTTTATTTATCATTCCATAAAGTCTAAAGTACACTACAGTGTTTAATCAAACCAATAGCTGAACATATGAACCTTTACATGTAAAAGCTGATATACCCGTCTTTAATATATCAATCAGTATATAACTGGATAGAACATTCAACACATTTTTAGGCATCCCCATTTTTGAAAATAAAATCCAAGAGCATTATTTATAGAGCATTGAAGTTGGAGGGGTCAGAATTCTTTTCTGAATTACATGAGTCTTATCGTGTACCTGGCAATTTCCTGACCACTGACCCTTTTTGTGGAATGCTCAAAATGGAGAGGAATATAAAGCTACATGGTGACTTGCTATCACAACCAGTTAGAGCAGTTGCATTGATGCTGCAGGCAAATGGAATAAAATATGAGTTCGTATATAGAGATTTCTTTAAACGTAAGTATACAGAACATGTATTTTGTATTTAAGTGGAGTTTATTAAGGCTCAGCTGGAAAGTAACATACTTTATTTTGTACCAGAAAATAACATGTGCAGGTATAGCAATTTTTACCAAAATGTTATTTTCCAGCTGTACCTTAAGTGGAGATCTTAACATGTTAATTGTTGTTACTTTAACTTGATTTTGAACATAAACTTCATTTCTCACATAGATCAGTCAAGTAAATAATGCCACCTATTGGTCACCTACTATTGGTGCCTATCACTTTTAAAGTTTCTTCGTTTCAATTAAAAAATAACTTTATTTATAAGTATTACTGCCTGCCTCATAGCCTATTTACGCAAGTTTTGTCAACTTAAATTTTTCCTGGGTATTTTTGAAGAATCAACACTTTTAATGTTTTAAAGTTTCATTTAGAACTAACTTGCACCATTGTGACCCCCATGGTTATTTTTTCCTGTCATTTGATTAATTCAGGGACCTACAACCTTTTCGTTATGCAAGTCCCGTCATCCTCCTTAGGGCAAATGAAGGACACAATAATGAAAGATTATGATTTTGCCTCTTTCACATTGACATGTTTCACATTCTTCGAAATTAACATGTTTCACACTTTTCATATTTTACATGTTTCACATTTTTCACATTTTGCATGTTTCACATTTACATTCTTCAAAACAGTTCTCCCCTTATATATGTTTAAATTCCCTTCCAGGAGAGGAGACGATACAGGGTGAAGAATATGTGAAAATCAATCCATTTAAAAGAGTGCCAACTCTTCAGATAGATGGCATGAATATCACTGAAAGGTAATTCATAAAATTAACACCACATTTTGGATTGTACAAATTGTTTCAGATTTATGATTTTGTTGGTTTTGGAGAATTATTTGTATAAAACACTGAGCCATACCGTGTTTGTAATGCATTTCAATTAGGAAGTCTTCAATTCAGAGTTTACATGTACTTTTGTAAACACGCAACTTTACAGTGTTTCTGATGCATTTAGAGAAAATTCAAAACTGACTGAGAATTCTTTAACATTTTCATGGATTTCTGACATTTACTATTGTGTAATTTTCCATGATTATAGATTCACCAGTTATTTTATTTTAAAACAATCTATCTTGACAAATAAAATTCAATTGTTGTCCAATTTGCAGTTCTGCTGCCCTGCAGTACCTAGCTGAGCTAGAAGGAATTGAGCCACATTGGTATCCTAGGAGTGGCCCGGAACGAGTCCTTGTTCATACATACCTAGCTTGGCATGGTCCTGACATGAGAGGAAATTCTGTCAATTTCCTCAGGACAACGGTATGAACTTAAATATGTGTTCTAGTCATTTTTGTGGTCATTTTGTGGTCATTTTTCAGTTTCTGTTTATTTCATATAGATATCATAATGCAAAAGATGACACAAGATATATTACAATATGGTTGATATTAAGGTTTGTGACATTAGCAACTTTAAATGTGGTCATGTTTTAAAATGAAAAGAGGCCCAGGAGAAACTAGGATATGTTTAACCTTCTGCACTCTGACTTATTTCAGCAAATATATCCTACGCATCTGACTTATTTTTCAAAAATGATATGCCTGGACTAAATAATTAATATCTCAATAACTACTGAATGAATCTGGATAAAATTTTCACAAAGGGAAGATACACTAGCGTGGCTCATAAGAAAAATGTTCTCATGAATTTTTTTCGTACATAAACACGACTGGGCATAAATATACCAATAATACTCCTTTGGAATCCGCCGTTTCGACCCTCGGGAGATTCAACGTCTGGTCAGAATCCAAAACTGAATTTGCAGCGATCGAATGTTCTTCTTTTCAGTTCAGAAAATATTCTAGTTTCTATTTTTGATGACCATTATCGGCTTCCAAGAGCCTAAAGAGCTCGAAATCGCAATACATTTCCTCCACATTTTCGTTGTGATCGTATTTGGCCATCATTTTGTACGATTTGTTCACTAAAAACGACTTAAACACTGTTTAAATTGTTGAATTGAGAAATATTTTTCGAAACATCGCCATTTCTAGGTCAACAGGAAGTCACCTACTAAGGACTGAATAAATCGGGCAATCTAATTGGATCATAAGAACGGCGAGAAAAAGTAAAGTTTTCAAAAGTTAGATTTGTGTCGTCCGGATCCGCCGGTGGATTCTGGCGGTAATTTTGAATGGGCGGACGCGGTCGCCGGTGGTCTGCTAAAGGTTAAAAGACAGATTAATAATGTCATAATTTGTAGGTTGCTTGTTTCAATACACAAGTAGGAACACCTTATCTGAAGGTGAATTATGTTTGTAAACATTAATATGTACAATTATCGACATCATGTCTCTGCCCAATATATCCTAGTTTCTTGAGTGTAGCAAAGGATGGTAAAAAAATTATTAAAATTCGCTACTGATGATCTTAAGTATAAGTACTGGAGCATTTACAAATTGTAATGATATATACTGGGAAAGCAGGGGGAGGGGGTTGGGCCGAAAAATTCTTTCAAAATCATGCAGTTTTTCACCATTCTGACCATTTTTCATGTGATTTTGGGTCAATTTGCCAAAGTGAATTTCCCCTTGGAAAGTCCTGGCTATGGGCCTGGTATGTTTGCATTTTTGAATTTACCAGTTAGTATCATTCTAAAATACTGTGTTACTGATTCTGATTTTAGGAAGCTGGTCAGGCCTTTACTGGTACCAAAATGCCAGCGGAAGAGTTGAAAGAAAAGAGGGTTAAACTTGAAACAATGCTTGATCAACTGGAAAATATATGGTTAAAAGAGAAGCCCTATCTAACAGGAAATGACATCACAATCGCTGATCTTCAGTGTATTTCTGAAATTGCCATCGTGGAAGTTGTTCTTGCTGAGGAAATAACAAGGAATCAACCTAAATTGTCTGCATGGATCAAACGTGTCAAGGACTATCTGAAACCTCATTATGATAACATTTTTAAAGAGCCAATGACTGCATTTGAAAATATGCTTAAGGCTGCCAGAGAGAAACTAAATAAATCAAACTGAAGCAATGTGTGTTTTCATTTTTCAGTTGATAGACATTTTTTACAAACCATCCATCTACAGTATATGTAATCATTGGTTGGAATTTCAGTTTGATAGCAATTTGACATTTATGACATGATATTTGACATATTTCTCAGTATGGTACTCTTGAAACAACCTCATTGCATCACTGTCATTGAATGAAGGAATAATGAAATGAAAATATGCAAATGTAACTGTTAATTTCAGATGTCACAAATCATTAAAACCCTTGAAAGCCAATATTTGCAAACGTTGTACCCTGGGTACTATAATTTAAAATTGAAGCTTTGGTAAATATAACTCCTTTGATTGACGTACAATTTTGTTTGGTTTATTTATTTGTTAGGTAAGCAAAGCCAATTTTTGTCTTACTAAAGATGTCAGACTGGAATTTCTCATAGTGCTACTACGATGATTTTATTCATTATAACTTATAGTCACACATACAAAATGAAATGATATTACTGTACATATAAGGGTAAATGCGTATGTTAATCAAAAAAGTGTATGATGCCCAGTGCGAGGGTCAAAAAACATTCCAACATTTGTATATGATCATTCAGGCCATCCCCAATAAGCATTGCCAGTATTTACTGAACTTTTTAGCTAACATTATGGGTTATTGATCATCTGTTTGTCCCTAGATTGCCTAAATTCCCTCATTTTACCTGTTCACCCTCCATTTTGAATTATTTCTTCTCTATTTCATATTTGGGATTTGTTTCCTTTCATGTCACCACCCCAAGTTGTGAGATATTGTTAAAGTCTCTATCATTTTTTGGATAGCATTCGGCTTTGGGTTTGCGTTAATAATTGACGGGGTCTGTAACAATTTGCTATAACTGACAAGGGAATGACATTTTGTCATGTTAATGCCTTGTTTACTTTACCTTTTGATGATATTTTTCTCTTGTGCATGTACTTAATCAATTTTTTGGCTCATATTATTGACTATTTCAAAATTAGTTCTACTCTATTGAAAGTTGAGGATTTGTTTATTTCTTCATGACTAGTTTCTGTCTGCATATTTTATACTATTTATCTTTTCCCTCATGCTCATGCTTACATTTTTAATGTCACCACCAAAAGTATGTTGTTATATTCTCCTCATCTTTTTTGTGGATGGTGTTCAGTGGTTGGTGTTTGGTGTCAAATAATGAATAGTAGTCAGGGTCTCTAACAAATCGCAGGTGTTGTCATTTTGCATGTTAATACCATGTACTTTCATTGCAAGCATACATGTACGAATGACTCCTGAACATGACTTGTGGACATTTCCCTATGCAAATTGCTAAAATATAACTCTATATTTTACATGCAGAATGACACACGGACAAGAGAGGACAGGGCCGCTACTTGTATTCAGAGACACTACAGGGGCCACCTGGGTCGCCAGCAATACATCAACAAACTTTATGAAAAATTTGAAAAGGTAAGCTTTTTCCCAATTGATGTTAATTTTGAGTAAAAGTTGTGAAGCATAGCTTCTTCTATACAAAATACATAAGGTGTCATCAGGGGAAATATTATATATAGAACTCTATCAAACAAAATTTTATTATGTGATGTCATACATGTAGCTGTAATATCCTACTATGTCTAAAACAAAACTTGGTTAAGTGTTTTTTCAATTGATTCGATGATAGAATTAAACTGTTCAGTGCTTGCATTAAAATACTACGATGGCCACTAAAAAGATAGCAAGATTTCACTATATTGCCCTTTGAGAATAAGATCATTGGTGTATTAGTAACATTGATTTCTATAACTAGAATCTATCTGTGTGCACAGGTGGTGTTGCATGCACATGATGCTTGTATTTAGTATTTCATGATAAAAAATATTAAAATGCTCAAAAGATGTCAGCACTGGAGTTTAAAAATTAGTCTTCTGATTTTTGTATTTAATCAGACATTTTTACATGAGAAGACGAAAGGCAAACTGTATAATGCTTAAAGGTGCACTATACTTAATTTAAAAGAAAAAATAATAAAATAATCATTGAAACATGTTACTCACACACTAGCTCAAATATGACAAAAAGTTTGATTTGCTTTAATATTGAACCAAGAAAAAATAAATCGCATAGAAAAAAGCATTTGAAGTTCAGAGATCATAAGACATGCATGCACATGTTATAACAAACTGCATGTTTTAAATCTATAAAAATGAATGTATCATGTAATACAAACAACTTTGCCATCTTTCAATGACATTGACAAAAACTTGATATATAAAGCTTGACAGATCAAAAATATTTTTTTGATAATTTATTGTAAGCTTTGATGTGGTCCATTTGAGCTGTTGTTGGTGTCAAATGAAAGATAAGGTTCTCATCAATACATTAGATATACTATGAATTTAAATGTAAGTCTTTATTTTGCCCAAAAATGTTGAAAATGTTGTAAAAGTCTTGGGGTAGTTAGTGTGTCCAGCTGATGGAAATAAAATGTTATTATCCCATCAAACGAAGTTCAGAGGGATATAGGGAATGCCTCCGTCCGTCCGCCGTCCAGGCAATAACTCAAATACCGTTGGCCCAATTTTGTTCATATTTTGTACACATATACCTTATGGAAGAAGAAGTTCTGCTTGAAAGTCGATTTTCAAAATGGTCGCTCATTTAAAAATGGCGGCCATTTTAGTGCCGATTTTACAGTAATTTAGGTGCAATACATGTATGTAAAACTGTAATAGCAATATGTTTCAAATGTAAAACAAATTATGTAGGACATTAATAAAGCTAGAAATGTAGATATCAAAGAAGCACATGGCAGCCATCTTCAAAAATGGCGGCCTTTACTCGTTATTTTACGATTTTTGCTGTAACTCGAAAAATAGTGGAGTAATTTTGTTCATATTTGGTATCTGAATACTATAAGCATGGCACACTGTCTAATGACACTTTTGGAAGAAGGTGGCCATTTTGAAAAATGGCCGCCATTTTAACTTTTTTTTACTATAACTCGAAAAGTAGTGGAGCGATTTTGTTCATATTTGGTATGTGAATACTATAAGCGTGGTACACTGTCTAATGACACTTTTGGTAGAAGGCGGCCATTTTTCATAATGGCCTGCCATTTTAACATATTTTACTAGAACTCAAAAAGTCGTAGAGCGATTTTGTTCATATTTGGTATGTGAATACTATAAGCATGGCACACTGTCTAATGACACTTTTGGTAGAAGGTGGCCATTTTGAAAAATGGCCGCCATTTTAACGTATTTTACTATAACTAGAAAAGTAGGGGAGCGATTTTGTTCATTTTTGGTATGTGAATACTATAAGCATGGCACACTGTCTAATGACACTTTTGGTAAAAGGTGGCCATTTTGGAAAATGGCTGCTATTTCTGCTATATATTTTGTTTGTAAAAATGCCACCCATGGCTGTTCGATGGGATTCGCTACGCTTTGGCGTTGCCGTTGCTCTGGTTGGTGTAGTTTTGGTTGGTACAATATGGAAGTGTCATAAGACATTGTGACAATGGAAAAAGGGTATTAAAATTTGTGTTTGGATTATGTATGTATGGTTGTCATTCAGGGGGTGACGGTTGGAAGGGGATAGAAATGCAGGGTATTTGATATAAAGGAGGAGGGAAGTTAGCGCAACAGATTTTGGACAGTCATATGTTTGATTTTGGCCATTTCCTGGGGATTTAAACTGGTGCATATGTTAGGCGAATGCATTACCTCCAGGAAAATCACTTCTAGAGATGATAAAATAATTTCGACTTTGAGACAGGGTAGATGCAAACAACCCACCCACATGTTTTTTCTGAAATGTTTTCCTGATTTTCAACCCCTTCCATCCCTGCTTTTTTAATTTTTCTTGCATCAATATGTTGCGTTTTGACACACAGTTAATCCCTTAAAAGGAATAAATGATTCCTTTTAGATAAAGTGGAAAACAATATTTCCCATGTTATTTTCCCATAGGAAAAATCATTGCTTTCAGCTAAGTTTGGTCACCCAAAATAGGTATCTTTAAAACCCCTGAAGGAATCACTTATTCCTTTACAGTGGTTAACTATGTGTCAAAATGCAACATATTGATGCAAGAAAAATTAAAAAAGCAGGGATGGAAGGGGTCGAAAATTAGGAAAACATTTCAGAAAAAACATGTGGGTGGGTTGTTTGCATCTACCCTGTCTCAAAGTCAAAACTATTTTATCATCTCTAGAAGTGATTTTCCTGGAGGTAATGCATTGGCCTAACATATGCAATTTTTTAAATTCTCAGAAAATGGCCAAAATCCAACATATGACTGTCCAAAATTGGTTGCGCTAATTTCCCTCCCCCTTTGTTAAATTATGGTCTTTTGTTTCTAATCAAGTGGAGGGGATATGAAAATGTCATAATGGTAAAGAGGGCATTGTTGCCAGGTGATTGAGGGTCAGGAATTGAATATGTATTTTGGAGTTGTCATGGTAATAAGATTTTAATTCAAGGGAGTAGCTATAGATATAGAGATGTTATAATGCAGAACACTCAAGTGCGTAAACATAATAGTAATAATAATATAATATTTGTATATTTATTATTTATTTGACAATCTATCTTAAAGCAGCTGCACTCAAATGTGTGTCAATATTTACATATGTAAGAATGCAATCAAAGCAGTATTTTCCCACTCAATTGTAACCCATGGGGTAATTTTATATATATTAAAGTCATTTAACGATATTATATTATTTTTATACAAAGTTACATGTATTATATAAACTGTTTCTCTGTATTTTATTTATCAGTTACCGGATTTTCTCGCATATACGCCCCCCTAAATTTAGGCCCATGGGCCAAAAATCGAATGTAATACGTTTATACGCCCATGGGCCTATAAAAAATGACTATTTATTGATTTTTTCAATAAATTCAAGAGTATTTTGTCACTGGCAGATCGTTCTGTCGTTACTTTAATTTGTTTCAACATTAAGTTCAACGCTGTGCCGTAAGTGACAGTGGTGGATCGTTCTGTTACTTTGTTTCAACATTAAGTCCAAGGTTGTAGGTGACATTTCCTTCATAATTCTTACAAAACACGCGGTAGGACTACAACAGTAGGTACTGTAGTCTTTGAGGAAGATCAGCTCTTCTCACCTTTACGCCCACTGTGCCAAAAATCGAAAGTAGTACACTTATATGCCAATGGGCGAAAAATAAGAGGTAAAATATCAGACGAAATTACCCCTTCTTTCAGTTATACGCCCAGGGCTTATATGCGAGAAAATCCGGTATTTGAAAATCCATTTTATAGAAGCTGCACATAAAGTTTTTTTTATAATTTTTAATACCTAGAATAGTCTTGCTTCAAGACTTTGCCCCCCCCCCTGTTTTCTTTACCCAATTGTGTGGTAGATGTGGACTCAAGTAGTTGGAAAGGGGGGGGGGGTGCTCAAGGGCTTGAAGCTAGACTAAACCTCGAAGTACAGAAAAACCTGTCTAAGTGGAACACCTATGGTACTCCTTAAAATTGTTCCACTTAGGAGGTGTTCCTCTCATAGAGGTTCATTTAACATAAGTCAATTGTTCTTGGGACTCTAAAAAGTGTTCCTCTTACAGAGGTGCTCCACTTGACAGGGTTCACTGTATAATCAATTGAATCTGTAGTGCATTTAATTGTACCTCACACACATGAGCATGTAATTAACATAATACAGAACATAATCTGACACTGCTCAGGTGCTTACCAATCAGAATATATCTAAGCAGGTTAAGAGTATGAGTGTGGATAAAGGCATTAGTCATGTCAAACACCCCCCCCCCCTTTACCCCAAGATATAGGGAGGAGTTGTTCTCAGAACAGATTGGTTCAGTATACTAGAATAGTACCAGGATGAGCTGATGTGATATATCATACATGTTCAATTCACACATGATATTATTGATTGTTGATCAGATTAGGCTGCATTGATTTTGACAAGTCAAACTTATTTCCATATGAACCACTTTATGCTACAAGAATGTTCCCTGTTCTGTCTAATTGATTTAATTATTCACTGGTTTTGAAAACATGTAGACTATTATCAAATGCAGCACTCTCCCCATCAGTTTGTTCTATATATACTGTCTAAATGTTTGAATTATTCACTGAATTTGAAAACATGGAGGTGAGTTTTCCCTGAACCGCTCTCCCAAACCAAGATGTTTCCTGTACTGTCTACCAGGACATAACCAGGCCAATGTAAACCATGCTGCTCCTTTGTAAATAAAGTCTTAATGTAACCACCCTGGTGGTTGAGTAATATCACTCTATGATTAAGAGTATCTACTAAAAGTATGTGCTGTTTTGTCACAAAGATACCCCTGGGTTCATTGAGTTTGTCATCTCCATGGCCAGTATACTTGAACACTTCACCACCATCTTTGGTGAAACAGTGCAGAGTATCAGTGGCGATGTCAGATACTAGAATAGTGAGATCATAAGGGTTTACATGAACTCTATACAGGTTTTCGAATGATTCATTTGTGATTGTATGTTTGATCTCTCCTTTGTTTGTACATATATTGATAGTGTTAGGTGCCCCACCAATTACTATTAATCCCAGGTTGTTGTTGTATGCTAAACCCGATGGGTTTTTTACCTGCTTACAAATATCAGATTGGTAATCACCATTGCTATTGTATACTTTAACACAATCGTTAGTCCTGGAACTTACAATTATTTCTCCTGTAGGGAAGCATGCTACATCATGTGACCATCGCTTGTCTACTGTAAACTGTAATTTTAGGGTTAAATCAGGATTATATACCATGATACCTTGCTCATAATTGCATACAACTATCTCTCCCAATGGACTCAAACACATTCCCCAACAGAAATCTGGTACCTCAATCTTAGTTTGTTTTAGTGTGAGATTAGGCTTGGATAGATTAAGATCTTTGAATTGGTTGAGTAGACTGGAAGGGTGAGTTGTATCTACAGAATCTGATGAAATACCAAGACTAGATTGAAGCTGAAGTACTAATGAATGTACATTTCTGACAGATGTTCTGGTTGATTGTTCTTCACTAGGTTGTAGTTTGTTGGGAATTGTCTCATTGGCAATAGTTAGACTCATTGTTGCATACAGTAATGATTGAGAACGCAGTTCCTTTTCAAGTAGGTTTTTCAAAAATGGATAGTCTTCCTGAAGGGATGATACAAAATCGTCATAAGCCTTGGCATCACGGGTTTCAAGAATATCCAAAAATGCACTGCATTGATCATGTCGTGTATGCTTGGATAGAATTTTTGCTTTTGACTTTTGTGATATGACTCCATCCTGTATACATCTCGCCATGATGTACTCAACATCTACGCTTTCCTCTAGTTTGACACGGCAAGCTCTTAAGACAGCTTTATGGACATCAGTTAGGGTAGTTGTAGCATATGCCATTTTGTTTTTTTTGTAATCCTATGAAAATAATAAAATCAATATGTGAGGGACATCTTATGACAAATATTCAGTTTCTTCAGTTGGGAGATAATAGGATTGAATAAAATTCATTAGTTATAACGCAGGCTACCAAAACAAAATATCATTGTGTAATTTAGTGATAAGTGTTGCTTATCTTATCTTATATTGAACTCATTTGTCTTTCATACGGTCCCTTTCATACAGGGTGCAAAAGTCCATCATGAAAGGGAAAGATATTCCAATATTAGAAATTTGCATTTTTGTGTCACCCTGTATGTATTTCTTCTACATGATTATTGAAATGAATGAAGTGATAATTCAAGATACAATCAGGATGATTATTGTTAAAATAGAAGTGAATCTATTGCATTCTACATATTGTTGAATATTGCTTATATAATCACATCATTGACTCTTACAGGGTGACGCTAAAAATTCTACCTACTTATTTCGGAATAAATTTTAAATTGCAATAATTAAGGCATTTTCATGATTTTTGATGTGTAGTGGATAGAGTGTTCAGTGAAAGAAAGATTGGTAAGCTTGCATAGCATCAACAGCTTGGAAATTTAGAGATATCACTTTTTCCGTCCAGGTATGCTCGCAGTGAAATCATCAAAAATGTTCAAAAATACTATTTTCTGAGATTGGGATTTCTCTTGGAAATTATTTGAGTCATTTCTGGATTGCTTTCACACATATTGTCACTAGTATGTCATATCCTAAACGGTTTTGTCAAATTTGATGAACTGACTTGCTTATTAGATAAATTTTAAAAAAGACATTACATTTATGAGTAATTTTGTGTCAGAGCATGCCTCAGTGAAAAATTAGATATCTCTTAATTTCCAAGTTGTTGATGCTATGCAAGCTTACCAATCTTTCTTCCACTGAACACTTTATCTACACATAGAAAAAAACATAAAGATTCCTCAATTATTGAGAATTTTTTTTCAAAATTAGTGGTTGGTAATTTTTGTGTCAACCTGTAGAACAAGGTTTTTATATGCAGTTAAAACTGGTCACCAACCAAGTTTTAAGCTGAGCTTTCAAACATGACAGCATTTATTTGGCCACAGTCCCTTCATATAATTTGAATACATGCAATTCATTTCAACATTTATTACAGGAAGCAAGAATAAAATAAAGAACACACAATTTTTTCAAGGGATTTTTCATATTGCCAATACCAATTCAATTTCTTTACATAAGCACCTACAGGATGGCACAAAAATACAACTGTCTGATTTTGGAATGCTACTTTCATTTCATTTATCATTGCAATTTCATGAATTTACTTTGAATTGGAGTGTCATGAAAGAACAGTGCAGGTGCACTGTCATAGCATCTTCTTGGGTATAATTGTCCAAACAATTTACAAAATACAGTTTTGGAATTTGGAATTGCTGTCTGAATTTAATTTGAGTCCTCTGAGATCATCAAAATATATGAATAATCACTTTTATGTTGAATTTTTTTTAAATTCTGATGAATTGATTGCTTGAATTTAATATCTACAAAACAGATTTTCAATCATGCATTCTTGAGTGTCTTGACATGAGGAAATCAACACAAAACAGAGAGTTGCAATCGTTTATGTCACCCTATTGATATAAAATTTATAATTATACACAGTAGACTACAGGGAGATATGCCAAGTACTAAAATAGTACTCATGGCATATTAACGTAAATATTAGTACTAAAAGAGCACTCATGACATGTGTACTGGTTTATTGCATGTTTTAGTACTAAATGAGTACTCATATGATGAGTGATAAAATAGCAGTAATTTCATTGATTTTTTAGCACTAGATGCGTACTCATATCACGAGCGATGAAATAGTACTAATAAAATTGATTTTTCAGCACTAAATGAGTACTAATATCATGAATGAGTACTTAATTAGCACTCGTGACATGAATGCTCATGAGTGCACTTTTGCCAGAGTGCTAATTTAGTACTTATATAATACTAATTGAGTAACCAGCATATCTCCCTGTATACAGGGTGGGTAATAAAAAAAATGGGAGACTTTATTGTTTTTCACACATGTGTTTTTATTACTAATAAACTTTCAAGGTCATCACCTTGATAAGCCGTCTTATATGAAATGGTAAAACTTTATCTAATTAAGATTAAAAGTGAAAAGACATGTCAAGCTAATTTGAGTCATATTTTGAGGTGAAGAGCATTTTCCATCTAGTTTAAACTTCAAATAAAATCCCATAAATTTAACAAAATTCAGGCCCAAATATTACCTCTGATGACATTTGGAAACTGATTTCCCTGATTGTCCCACATTTTGAGGTTTTCAAATTGTTTTTTTAATACTAATATTTAAAGTATGTTTGAGGTTTTAGTTGATTACTAGATTTTATCCAATTTTGAAATCAAAATAGTTCCCTTTATGGGATTGAACTGAGTGTGGAATTGAGATAGTTTGCATAAAATATAACCTCTATGTTTATAACATAGGGGCAGTGGTTTGCTGAGTGTTTTGATGAGTGTTTTACTCATTAGTAAGTCATAGAAACTGTTAAATATATAACTTTTGAAAAAAGTATTTTAATTCATATGATACATAACTTTGAATTAGTGTTATGGATTATTCTTACTAACAACTTTTTTAACTAACAATGTTTTTTTGTCTCAATGTGCTACAGAATTATATGATGCAATTAAGGAACATCAAATATATTGAATACTCTTTTTGGTGATTATTTCCTGACTGCCAGGTATATAACTGCCTTAAAACATTGTTTAACTTTGACATAAAAGAACATGTATATAAAACAGGCTGCAAGCAATGAACTCTTTAAAATGAAATTGTTGGTATACACATGCAAATAACATTGGGCCCTGTACGAGCTCGTACGAGCCTTGAGAATTACGAGTCATAACGGGCAAAAAGGAACACAATCCTTGTATTGGGTTGTACACAGCTCGTTTTCAAGGCCTGTAAGAGCTCTTATATATATCTTGGAATAAATTAATACATTAATACTCATAACAATGTCAATGATCTATATATATACATACCACTTGTTAGGATTTGTGTGATTCAAGAATTAAAACTGTTGACACTCTTTGCTAGGCTTGGTTGTCTCTCAAACATTTCTGAAAATAATGGAATATGTTTATATAATATCCACAATTAAAGGCATCTCAGTCTATACTTAACTGTTCATATATTAACTTTGGCCATTTTGGTCAAAACTCTAAATGTACTCCATTACCTTTCTGAATGAATATATAAAAATCCACATTTTTATTGTCAATTTTTTTTTCATTTACTTAACATTTATGGTATAACATAGTTTATAGGCTGACAATAATGCATAGAAGTTGGACAAAATATTGAAGAGATCTGAGATTTGTGTGAAATTCCATTGTACATGTACCTTTCATGTAGTCCTCAGAAAGTTGAAAAATGTTGTTGGCTTTTTGATTCATGGGGTGCAATTTTCAGCTTACTCTCTGCAAATTATGTGTTTCAGAACTCATTAAATTGAATTGTATGCAAATGTTGCATATCCTGTTAGAGTATGTTTCAAAGTTTTTGATTATGCAACATCTGTATGTGATCCTGGTGTCAGACTTACTGCTTGAAATTTATCTGAATAATTCTCCTTGAAATATATTCTGATTCAGACGGATTTTAAAAATGATAATTTTGCACCCACTTGAATTATATCACCACTTAATAAGGCAATGTATCTTCAAATAAAACTTTAGCCAAGTACATTAGAGTCTATGGAACACTTTTGGAAATAGTTTTCACAAGCAATTTTGTTTGTGTATCTCAAATTTTGCCACGTTAAAACTGGTGCAGTAACCTAGGTTTTAAGCTTAGCTTTAAAACATGACAGCATTTATTTGGCCACAGTTCTATGGTCATATTATTTGAACACATGTAATTCATTTCAACATTTATTACAAGAGGCAAAGTAAAAAATATTTTTTCAAGGGATTTTCATCTTGCTAATATCAATTGAATTTCTTTGCGTAAGCACCTACAGGATGGCACAAAAAATAAACTGTTTGGAATATGCCAAATTCACTTTTGATCATTTGGTGGTTTTATGAATAATTTTAGGTGTCCTGTATTATAAAACGCCATGTCAATGTAAAGATTAGTTGTACGAAGTAATTTTGTTACAAAAAATCGCCAAAAAAAGATTTATGTTTTTTTTTCAGCCATTTTTGTTATCATTGATATTTCCATGTGTCTCTCAAGTCCAGAAGCACTCGTTGCCATAAGTCGCGCCCTCAAAACCTGGGTTTGCCATCATCCAAACCCGCCTTTGCAAAAAAACGAACGGTGCATTATTTGACTCGTTCGTATAATTTTCGATGCTTTTCAAACCAGAATATTCATTGTTTTTATTAGAATGGTTCCTTGTAATTAACTCTTAACTATGGATATGTTGACTGAACTGCAACGGACTTTTAACGAGATGTTTTGCGCATAGGGTTATAAAGTGCCTTGTATGATGCGCCCTCAAAACCCGGGTTTGCCGTCATCCAAATCCGCCTTTGCAAAAATGTGAACGGTTCATAATTAAAGTCATTCTTGTTATTTTCGGGAGTTTTCAAACCTGGATTAAATTGCTTTTATTAGAAGAGTTCCTCATCAATTGTAATTTAATATTGTAAGATTTTGGCCCAGACTGACACAACAGAAATTGTCAACACTGGAGGATGGTTATAGTTCATAATTGTATTTAAATCAAATATTATTTATATTTATGAATAAAAATAAATGTATGTCAAGTTCCTCATCTCTACTGGTCAATTTTTCCTTGCTTTAGTAGCCGTTGTCCTGATATATTATCTTAGTCAAAATAGAGAACGAACGAATATAAGGGGTCTTCTAGCTTTGCACATTTTAGACCAATCATAATACATAACTTTTTCTAATATGTTTAACGTCTTGGTAGACAAAAAATAACACGTATAAAATTCTAATAAAACGAACTTTTATATTTCGTGGCCTCATTAAACACTTATTTCGTTTGGAATGGCCTTAAACCCTGGTCCGCGAAACACACATTTAAATAAGGGATTGGCGCACCCGGGTCTGACTGTAAACCTCCTGTTCACTGTCGTATGAATTATGAATGTAGTTTCGCACAGTTGTCAACGGAAACATACAGTGAACCCTGCTTTCCCGAACCCGGGTTTCCAGGATTCGCCTCGAATGCCTTCGACTCTTTCTCCTCAAGTCAGTCTAAAATAGTGGCATGTTTTAAAACCTCTGTCAAAATAAAAACTGTCCATAGTCTAAATCCACCAAAATCGAATAAAATAGTTTGTATTTACCTTGAGGTCTATTTTAATCCTACGAATAAGTTAGTATCTCTCTCCCCTTTCTCTCTCTCTGCTTACGTGTTAATATAATTTATCTAGGAACGCCTAATTCTTAGAACTCTTCATAATACGTCATAAAAACTGGTTTGAGCAGGCATTCTTTGCATATTCATTGTTATTTAAAAACGGCCTTCCAGACTATTTACTTCGTTGCTTCTCAACCTCAATGTGTTTTGAAACCACAGGTCGGGGTTTTCAATAGATTTTTTAAGAATAAATAAAGTCTCTATATGTTAGAAGGTTAAACATGCATTGTCAATTGAAATATTTAAATAGGCTGTTTTCACATAAATATGAATTTGAAGTTAAAACGGGGCTACAGAAATTGCTTTCATATCTTTGAATGGTGGCTGAATCTAGATCAAGATTATAAACTGTAAAACCTGTCTTAGTGAACACCTCTCTCGTGAACAGCAGTGTCTAGTGAATACCTCTAGTGAATCTTTTTAGTTGTAAGTTGAGGGGTTTCCTTAGAAGTTTTACACTAAATTTTGCACATGTTTCTTGTTATGTCACCACCAAAAACATGACTAATAGCAATTAAAAAACTAAACTCGAATATTTAATTATAGCATTTTCAAAACTCAGCATTTTATTTAAGCAACCCATTCATTCACAATTCACAATATTATACATTTCAAAAATACATTCACATTTTCTAAAGAAGACTAAATTTTCTTATAGTATCAGAAATTGGCCCATTACCAGCTTTTGTTCACTTTCTAGTTTCCAAGGGGGTCACATTTGACAATTCTGGCTTTAAAATGACCCAAAATCACTTGAAATATGTCCAGAATGGTGAAAAACTGCATGATTGTGAAAGAATTTTTGGCCAGGTTCACTTGAACCCCCTGAACATCCCAACCTCTTTTGAGTAAGGGCCTAAATGGTTAAACCAATAAAATTTTAGAATTCTGTTTTATTCTTCAGGAGGAAGCTTTGCGGCATATGAAAATGTTAGATCAGCTGGAAGAAGGAGAACTGCTTGTTGAAAGGTATGTGCCTTGTAAATCAATAAAGTACATGTAACTGACTGTCTGATCCCAGGCTGCATTTTTGAACTGCCCACGGGGCAAGTGAATTTCCCCCAAGGTACCACAAAAAAGAACAACAATGTTATATCAGTTGGAAGAAGGAGAACTGCTTATTGAAAGGTAAGTGTCTTGTAAACCAATAAAGTATATGTAACTTTGTCTGCCCCCAGGCTGCATTTTTGAACTGCCCATGGGGCAAGTGAATTTCCCCCAAGGTACCACAAAAAAGAACAACAATGTTATATCTTTAGGAAGAAGGAGAAGTGCTTGTTGAAAGGTATGTGTCTTGTAAATCAATAAAGTACATGTAACTGACTGTCTGCCCCCAGGCTGCGTTTTTGAACTGCCCATGGGGCAAGTGAATTTCCCCCAAGGTACCACAAAAAAGAACAACAATGTTATATCTTTAGGAAGAAGGAGAAGTGCTTGTTGAAAGGTATGTGTCTTGTAAATCAATAAAGTACATGTAACTGACTGTCTGCCCCCAGGCTGCATTTTTGAACTGCCCATGGGGCAAGTGAATTTCCCCCAAGGTACCACAAAAAAGAACAACAATGTTATATCTTTAGGAAGAAGGAGAACTGCTTGTTGAAAGGTATGTGTCTTGTAAATCAATAAAGTACATGTAACTGACTGTCTGCCCCCAGGCTGCGTTTTTGAACTGCCCATGGGGCAAGTGAATTTCCCCCAAGGTACCACAAAAAAGAACAACAATGTTATATCTTTAGGAAGAAGGAGAACTGCTTGTTGAAAGGTAAGTGTCTTGTAAATCAATAAAGTACATGTAACTGACTGTCTGCCCAAAGGCTGCGTTTTTGAACTGCCCACGGGGCAAGTGAATTTCCCCCAAGGTACCACAAAAAAGAACAACAATGTTATATCTTTACGAAGAAGGAGAACTGCTTGTTGAAAGGTAAGTGTCTTGTAAACCAATAAAGTATATGTAACTTTGTCTGCCCCCAGGCTGCATTTTTGAACTGCCCATGGGGCAAGTGAATTTCCCCCAAGGTACCACAAAAAAGAACAACAATGTTATATCTTTAGGAAGAAGGAGAACTGCTTGTTGAAAGGTATGTGTCTTGTAAATCAATAAAGTACATGTAACTGACTGTCTGCCCCCAGGCTGCGTTTTTGAACTGCCCATGGGGCAAGTGAATTTCCCCCAAGGTACCACAAAAAAGAACAACAATGTTATATCTTTAGGAAGAAGGAGAACTGCTTGTTGAAAGGTATGTGTCTTGTAAATCAATAAAGTACATGTAACTGACTGTCTGCCCCCAGGCTGCGTTTTTGAACTGCCCATGGGGCAAGTGAATTTCCCCCAAGGTACCACAAAAAAGAACAACAATGTTATATCTTTAGGAAGAAGGAGAACTGCTTGTTGAAAGGTATGTGTCTTGTAAATCAATAAAGCACATGTAACTGACTGTCTGCCCCAGGCTGCATTTTTGAACTGCCCATGGGGCAAGTGAATTTCCCCCAAGGTACCACAAAAAAGAACAACAATGTTATATCTTTAGGAAGAAGGAGAACTGCTTGTTGAAAGGTATGTGTCTTGTAAATCAATAAAGTACATGTAACTGACTGTCTGCCCCCAGGCTGCGTTTTTGAACTGCCCATGGGGCAAGTGAATTTCCCCCAAGGTACCACAAAAAAGAACAACAATGTTATATCTTTAGGAAGAAGGAGAACTGCTTGTTGAAAGGTATGTGTCTTGTAAATCAATAAAGTACATGTAACTGACTGTCTGCCCCCAGGCTGCGTTTTTGAACTGCCCATGGGGCAAGTGAATTTCCCCCAAGGTACCACAAAAAAGAACAACAATGTTATATCTTTAGGAAGAAGGAGAACTGCTTGTTGAAAGGTATGTGTCTTGTAAATCAATAAAGTACATGTAACTGACTGTCTGCCCCCAGGCTGCGTTTTTGAACTGCCCATGGGGCAAGTGAATTTCCCCCAAGGTACCACAAAAAAGAACAACAATGTTATATCTTTAGGAAGAAGGAGAACTGCTTGTTGAAAGGTAAGTGTCTTGTAAACCAATAAAGTATATGTAACTTTGTCTGCCCCCAGGCTGCATTTTTGAACTGCCCATGGGGCAAGTGAATTTCCCCCAAGGTACCACAAAAAAGAACAACAATGTTATATCTTTAGGAAGAAGGAGAACTGCTTGTTGAAAGGTATGTGTCTTGTAAATCAATAAAGTACATGAAACTGACTGTCTGCCCCCAGGCTGCGTTTTTGAACTGCCCATGGGGCAAGTGAATCTCCCCCCAGGTACCACAGAAAAGAACAATAGGCCCCACTGAGCATATGTACATGGTAATATGTTTTCAGATATAGCTCACCCAAGCTTACTTACACTCACAAAATACTTTTAAAAGCACCGTGAGTTATTGTAATGGGAGCCAGGACTCGTATAGATGGCAGATAACTACTAGGTTGTTCTTCACATCTTGGCCTTTGGTTTGTGTGTAAATATTGCTGTTTTAAAACTTCAAATTCACTACATATAGCAAATTAATAAGGCATCTATTGGCAGTCCTGAACGCCATTGAAATCCTATAGTGCACAGGCAACTTGCCGGCACAAAGTGGTTGACAAGGTTTACACAGCTGAATTAAGCCATGTAAGTGTACTCTGTGCCGTGGGTAGTTCAGAAACGCAGTCTAAGAGACTCCTTATTTTGTTTTTGTTTACAGAGTACTTATGGGGTATATGATAAAAGAAACAGTGACTGGCACATTTTGGGGAAATAGTGTAAAATCGTTCCCCTTGAATATCCTGTCAACTTCAACTGACATGTCTTCTTGGCCAACAGCATCTACAAGTTATTGGAAGTTCAAATCTGACTCTAGATTTGAGATTTGACCTTCAATGACCTTATCAAGTAAAAAAAGCTCAAAAAAGTCTTTTTTCAATTTGCTTCAATTTTTTTTTCAAAATCATCTACAAGTTCTCAAAAGTTCAAATCTGACTATAGATTTGACCTTCAATGACATTCCGAAGGTCAAAAAAGATTTGACCTTTAATTTTCTTCTCAAGCTCAAAAAGGTCTTTTTTCAACTTGCTTTGAATCGACCAATTATTTTCAAAATCATCTACAAGTTCTCAGAAGTTCAAATCTGACTTTAGATTTGAGATTTCGCTTTCAATGGCCATCTCAGGGTCAAAAAAGGTCTTTTTTCAACTTGCTTCAAATTGACCAATTTGTTTTTTCAAAATCATCTATAGCTACAAGTTCTCAGAAATTCAAATCTGACTTAAGATTGAACTAATAATACTGTGAGCAACTAGGTGGTGACATTTTGCCATGTTAATGCCATGTTCTTTCTTGTGTCTGGGTCATATTGACCCATGTTTAACCAGGCAGTATGAAGATAGAATACAATCTTGCAAGGGTCTATAATGGGTTTAATTCATTTCTAATAAAACACATTTCTATGACTAAATTATATGGAGCTATTCTGTGTGAAGGTAAATAAATTCAACGATCATATTTCAAAAATTTGAATGGCAAAATGAAGGGATAATCTCAATAAGACCAAACCTTTCAGCCTACTTTTCAAAATCAGCCAACAAGACAGTTTGAGCTTATTCACTTATTATAGTACACTATATAGAACCCTACACAAATTTTTGACAACTTTAACACACAATTTTTCATTTTACTCCAACAACTTAAAAACCCAAGTAATTGAACTAAAGGTGTCATTAATGTGTTTGCACCTATTTGACATCATTGAAATTAAGATTAAGAATTGTTAACAATTTCTTTTATTTATCACAATTTTTACTATTATATTTTAAAAAAATACATAAACGTAGTGAGAATTTGTGATGGAAATCAAATATGCTCAACCAAATAATTTAAGGAGTGGCCTCAATGTTGATATTGGCAGCCATTTTGTTTTTTCTGACATTGTCTTAAATATTTTTCAGCCACCGACTTGAGGTACAGATCGAAGATGACATCACACTACGAAAAAATAAAGCCAGAAAAAGAGAGGCAGATATCATAACGTAAGTAAAAGTATCATTTCAAAGTATCATTTACAAAGACTTTAAATCACAAGCCAGACCTGTAGCCAGGATTTGCCAAGGGGGGTTCACTTTTCAAAATTCCAGGGGAGGGTTCATTTTTGACAACTGATAACAATTTGATAAGTCTGATTTCATGCCCATATGATGAATTGCAGATATAATTCAGTTTTATTTAATACATTTTGAGTTCTCCCTGATATTTTCAGTATACAGCGTGCATGGAGGCATTATCGAGAACGACAACAGGCTCGAGGTGAAGAATCTGAAAGTGAGGCCTCGGTATCTGACATTGAAATCACAGAAATTCAAGATGACCACCAGATGTCAGTGTCCTCTCCCGAAGATAATCCAACTGATACAAAATCTGACTTTAATAATCAGCCAATCAAAACACTCCGTGACATTGAGTGCGAATCTGTATTGTCAGATTATTCCGAAATGGGTTACCCATTGAAAGAAGTTTTGGCACAAAATGGCGGAACTTATATGCGCTCCAGTCGTGAATCCTCCACTGAAAAAGAGGCTGGTAAAAAATTGGATGCTTCTGTGTTAACCCGAGCCCCTGATGAAACTGAGGATGAATTTACAAGACGATTACGTAAAATGAATTATTTAAGTTTAGCACAAGAATTTGCAGAACTAAAGAAAACAGACGAGAATGCTTTACCATTTGGTTTGCGCCAGAACGCACAAGATGCAAATACTCCTACGAGTGAAAGCTCAATGGACGAATCAAATTCAGGCTCAATAACGGCCACATGTACACCTAGTGAACCAAACAAAGACTTTCCTGAAAAAATTGCAAATAATACTAATAACCAACCAAAGATAGCCTGGGGAGAAACGAGCGCAAATCCAAACCAAAAACGAAATCCATTTGACGAACCAACCAAAGAACAACCAATCAAAACCCTGCAGGCAAATCCTGCATTTTTTGAAAGACATGACAAAGACACGCAAGTAATACAGGATAATACACTACAGATGAATCCAGCTTTTTTCGAAACTTTGAATCAAAAAACCGGTAACCAACCAGAGAATGATAACGAAAACACATCAACTGAAAAATGGGCGACGAGAGTGTCCCAGCCCCAGCTAGACGAACCCAATACTCAAAATGCCAGCAATATTGTCGATAATGAGAATATGAACAGAAAAACTATGAATAAACCAGTCATTGAAGAAATACAGTCTGAATCTCAAAATAAAAAGGTAGGCCTATTATTTATATCAGTATAACAATGAAGAGACTTGAAACTACAGTAAAACCTGTCTTTCTGAGCGCCACTGGGATTGACCAAAAATGTCCAGATTGGCAGGTGTTCAGTGTTCACATTTGGGATGGAAAAAGTGTTCACATAAGAGGTATTCAGATTAGAGAGGTGTTTGGACATACAGGTTTTAGTCTAAAATTTATTGTAATTCAAATCTCTCACCCTATTCTCTATTTTTAGAAGATGACTTATCAAACATCTCTTTTATACTAAAGGCAGGGGTTTCATTAGCAGCAGGCAACAGGCGATTTTCACCAGTTCACAAAATGGCCTGTTGTTTTTAGGGACTTATCAACTTTCCATGTTAAATTCATGATTTCCATTAATTTTGCCTGTTGTTTTCATTTATTCAGCCTGTTGTGAGAAATTCTAGTGAAATCCCTGAAAGATGACTTTACTAAAGTCTACTATTTTCCATGCCCATTTCTTCATTTCAGAATACTGGAGTTGCTGATTTTGACGTCTATAACATAGAAAGCACATTACCAGATATGGATTGGGCCGCACTTGAGAACCAATTAAAAGCTGCCGCTGAAGAAGAAGAGCAAAGTAAATCGGTAAGTTGACGTTTAGAATTTTTCTGGGGTCAGGTTATACAAATTGAAATAAAATACTGTTTTTTTACAAATATAGGAGAATCATATGCTTTTACATTTTTATTGATATCAAAAACCGACCCCAAAATATGTTGGTTGTAGTTTTTTATTTAAACATATTAGCATACACTATACTTCTCTACACTGCAATATACTGCACTAAGCTATATGGGAATAATACAATAATAATACAACTAGATAATGTGGAACAGTACACCACACTGCACTACACTACATTACACTACAACTACACTACAATACAATACAGTACAAAATAATACATTACACTTCACTACACTACACTACAATCCAATACAATACAATACAATCCAATACAATTCAATACAATACTGTAACAATACAATACAATACAACAACACAGTACAATACAATACAATCCAATCCAATACAATCCAATCCAATACAATACAATACAGACAGTACACCTTATTGTAGTGCATTTCATTTCATAACAATTCAGATAGAATATTTTATCACACACATGAACATTTACTGAAAATAGCACACATTTCTTTCAATAGATGTCATACCTATCTTTCTGAAGAAAACAGTCTTTGTGGCCATATCTATTTCATGCTTTTTCTCTCTAAAATTTTCATAAAGTTTTTGATTTTCTTGCATCACTATACAATTTAAAGTGTTAACTACATGTCTGTTTACTTTTTATTCCTTGCTAATTCTTTTCATTTCTCTCTAAAATTTGAATGAAGTGTCTGATTTTCTTGCATTTCTATATACATGTAATTTAGAGTGTTAACTACATGTCTGTTTACTTTATTCCTTGCTAATTCCACTCATTTCTCTCTAAAATATGAATGAAGTGTCTGATTTTCTTGCATTTCTATACAATTTAGAGTGTTAACTACATGCCTGTTTACTTTATTCCTTGCTGATTTCACTCATTTCTCTCTAAAATATGAATGAAGTGTCTGATTTTCTTGCATTTCTATACAATTTAGAGTGTTAACTACATGCCTGTTTACTTTATTCCTTGCTGATTTCACTCATTTCTCTCTAAAATTTGAATGAAGTGTCTGATTTTCTTGCATTTCTATACAATTTAGAGTGTTAACTACATGCCTGTTTACTTTATTCCTTGCTGATTTCACTCATTTCTCTCTAAAATATGAATGAAGTGTCTGATTTTCTTGCATTTCTATATACATGTAATTTAGAGTGTTAACTACATGTCTGTTTTCTTTATTCCTTGCTGATTCCTCTCATTTCTCTCTTATATTTAAATGAAGTGTCTGATTTTCTTGCATTTCTCTACAATTTAGAGTGTTGACTACATGCCTGTTTACTTTATTCCTTGCTGATTTCACTCATTTCTCTCTAAAATTTGAATGAAGTGTCTGATTTTCTTGCATTTCTCTACAATTTAGAGTGTTGACTACATGCCTGTTTACTTTATTCCTTGCTGATTTCACTCATTTCTCTCTAAAATTTGAATGAAGTGTCTGATTTTCTTGCATTTCTATATAATTTAGAGTGTTGACTACATGCCTATTATTTTATTCCTCTCTGATTCCACTCTTTTTCACTCTATTTTGCATTTTACAACATGTAAACGAAAGGGAGTCACAACGTTAGTTTGCAAGCTTCTGGTCTCAGTTCAGTGTAAGGAAATTATTTGTACAGTTGACCTCTGGATAGGTCAATAAATAATAGTCCAACTAGAATATAGAATAGGGCTTACTGCAACAATTATTCACCTTCATATTCATTATTGCTTTTTCACTTTTCACTCTCCAAATACTATTAACCTGAAATATATTGGCAGTCAGTAGTCAAAACTGTTTACCACTGTTTGGCCAATGAGAATCAAGCATCCCACTTTAAATCAAACTGATGTCTGTACTGTACATGTAGCTCAGTCAAGTCATCTGCTAAAGTTAGATAATTCATTTATTAAGCAACCGTCTTGTGAATTCTTCGTCAATTTCATCAAGACTCCTCTCAGCTTCTGAAAACACAAGTGTTCAGTAAAGGATTCCTGACTAAAACACATATATCTTACACAATTTAACCGAGATTGTCTCATTTTAAGTTGCTTTCATTAAAGGAGGTTGTCACGTGTATTAACATCCACTTCTTAACATTTTGTGAGTTGTTGATTCCTAGTATTTCTTGTGTTGCATCAAGGTTACTGGTTAATCATTGTATACTTATTTATTATTGGAAAATAAAGTGTAGTTGCATGTACTATTAAAACATTGTTAGCCAAATACATGGGAAAAATAATGATTGTTAGGGGGATTCTATTGTTTTTAAAGGATTTTTAAATTGAAATTGTATGATTTTAGCCAATTTTTAGACAAGTAACCTAAAATATTGGCCTAAATCTCTGAAAATTTGAAGGAGATCAGTTATTTTTTCAAGCAAGAAGGATCAGGGGGTTGCTGCAAAAAGGGTTTGCATAATTCCTTCAAACTCCTTACAGCCCTGCAAAGCCAAGTACAGGGTGATATGAAACATTTCAACTCTCTATATCAGTCCTCTAATTTTTTGTGTCCCCTGTAGTTAGCCAATATTTGTCTTTTGCAATGATCGCATGCTCAATTTAAAGAACAATGTGCCAAAATAATTCAGGTCGGAAGACTTTTTTCCTTTATACAATAACTCAAATATTAGTGGATCAGTTTTGCTTTGTCTCCAACTTTTTTGTGGATCGTGTTTGGTGGTCGGTGTTTGGGGCTCAGCGTTTGTAACAAATTATTACAAATTCATACAACTTTTAATAACTGGTGGTGACAATTTGTCCTGTTAATGCCTTGTTCATATTTTTGCTTGAAGTATATACTAAACAGTCTTTCTGGCATGCTTCTCTTGATTTCTCCTTTTCAAAGGCATGATGAATTGATTACTTGTAATTGCTAGATTAGGAAAGTCCATACTGATATCATGCAAAATGGTCATGTCTTTTCATCAATTTTCTCTCTACTTTTCTCTCCAGAGTTTGTGAATGAACACTGTGATTTTTTTGCATATCTACACAATTTAAAGTGTTAACTACATGCCTGTTTACTTTATTCCTTGCTAATTCCACTCTTTTCCATTCTATTTTGTATTTCAAAACATGACCACCATTACATTTTTTCGTATAAGTGCAGCCCAATTTTATGTTTATTCCTCTCATTTTTCTCTGAATTTTGATTGAAGTGTCTGATTTTCTTGCATTTCTATACAATTTAGAGTGTTGACTACATGCCTGTTTACTTTATTCCTTGCTGATTCCTCTCATTTCTCTCTAAAGTTTGAATGAAGTGTCTGATTTTCTTGCATAACTTTACAATTTAGAGTGTTGACTACATGCCTGTATACTTTATTCCTTGCTAATATCACTCTTTCATACTCTAATCCCCATTTCACAACATGACCATCACATCACATGACATTTTCAGGGAAAGCATGTAGTGCTATAATAGAAAGAGTGTATTACATGTAGAGTTCCATTCAATAGAAAAGAGCAGCTAATTTGCTAGAATAACCAGGAGAAATGGAATGCTACTCAACAATTTGCTATTAACTTTGATCAAGAATCGGAGATATATACAATAGAGTAGTATCCACTGTGTTGAATAATCGAAAGCGTGCCATGAAATGATTTTCACGATAAAAACCAAACATGGAAATTAATCGTTACCTGATTTCATGTCTTAGTGAATTAATTGTTAAGGAACAAGAATAGTGGATAGATTAATTGAAAATGGAACGAAACTGAACGGATACATGGATTATGAGGAATATGTTACATACTGCACATGGATTAATGCTTCATTTTTGATGTGTTCTTATATGGGCACTAGTTCAGGTCTTGTATAACACTAGACAAACATTGTTATATTACCACCATATGGTGTTCGGTTGTCAGCGGTTGGTGTTTGGTGGTTGGTGGGTGTAACAAATGGCATGTGGTGGCATTTTGCATATTAATGCCTTGTCTCTTATTCTTATAATAGGCATACTGTGTATCATGTGCATTTTTCTAAGATTGTATAGATTTTCAAGTCATTGCACAGATTAGAGCAAGTTTTTAATTAAATTTAAAAGCCAATATACAGGCCTTTAGAATTATGTGCATTTAATGTACAGATTGTGTGCACAGAATACAAAGAGGGTGCATGGGGGGG